TCATTAGAACAACCATATAATATAATTCGGTTGGGTTTGTTGTTCGTATCAACGCTTGTTTGATATATTGTATTTAGTATTTATATCGAAATAATTTGGAAAATATATATGCGAATTTTGCAACACCAATGTAGAGGTCAGTAATAGAGTCTGAAATATCGAACACCATGTAATGAGAGGCGGAGAACGATATCAAAACAAAACGCAGCCGAAAAATGATTTTTTTTCTTGGGAGCAATACATTTATTTTTGTCAAGAGAGAGAGAGAGAGACAGTTGTGAGGTATAAAAGTATTACAAAATTCCAAATTAGTAGGGAGTTAAAGGTTCTGAAACTGAGCATTTTTTCAAATATTAAAAACAACAAATTTCGATTGAAAAGTATGACAACATTTTCTGTTATTTAAAAGCTGCATCAATTACTGTCAATCCTACGTTATAACCTCTCTAATACTTAAATTATAGGAGAGTACTGTATGAAAATGCATGTTTTTGGGAGGTTTTATTTTGTATTCATTTCAGAATATGACGCCCAACTAGAAATGGTGTAAATACAACATAGATTTGTCATCAAGAAGCATTGTAAGGGGGCGTTCACGTATTATGTAAGTACTATAGGCCGGTGGGAGATATAAGCTTTGCTTATTTTTGATGACATGGAGAGGGGTTTTAGAGATGGTGATTAAGTCAGCAGTAGTTCTTTACTTTTTGCACATGGCAACCCTCATCCACACTTAATACGATTATATTATTTGTACCTTACTCTTCATAGAGGTTATTTATAATAAACGATTGAATTTATTGAAATACATACATAAATACATACAATTAAATATTAACAAGTGAAAAAGCGGTAAGTTCGGCCGGGCCGAACTTTGGATACCCTCCACCATAGATATACTGATAGGTACTAGAAATGAAAATATAGGGAACATACCAAAAAGTGGACCTATACCGACATTTCTAAAAACGGATTATGTAAACCATAATACAAATTTTAGAAAATTTTTAAGGATAATTATACCCTCAGCCTTATGGCTAATGAGGGTGTATACACTTTAACACGGTGAAAATGTGCCTCATCGAAATATTGGTTCTAGACCCCATGTTTCTTTGGACCAAATCCGTTTCAGAAAATTTAGATTTCATCCGAACTTTGCCCATCTTATTATTTCTTCCAAGCTTAGTTCAAATTCTTGAACTTCCAATCAGGGTCTAGATCTAACTGCGGCTATAGTTCATTATCCAACCATACGTTCTAATTGTTTATCTCTCTATCCTCCGCAGGTGAAATTATTACAAAAGAGTCTTAGAACCAAACTCAAAACGCGGAACAAATCAGATAACTATTTTAATATAAAAAAGGGGGTTATATGAGGACTACCCCATAAAGGGGGCGAATATTAATAATTTTTGGTAGAGAGATTTGTTAGCATATACGACTACAAATTACCAAATTGCAGCAAATTCGGTTGACCCCCAAATATCGAAAATTGGGGGTACCCTTATATGGGGGCTATCCGAAAAAATGGGCCTATATTCATAATTTTTTGTGGAGAGATTTGGAACCTATTAAGAACCCAATGTACAAATTTCAGCGTATTCGGTTGAAAAACGCGCCCAAGAACCCCAAAATACCGAAAATTGGGTATAAATATAGGTAAATTTTATGTGGAGAGATTTGGTACCCATTAAAAACTCGAAATACTAAATTACAGCCAATTCGGTAGAAAAATACGATCAAAACCCCCAAAATACTGTAAATTAGGAGGCACCGTTATATGGGGGCTACAAGAAAAAGTGGACCTAATTTTTTGTGGGGACATTTAGTACCCAATAAGAACCTACTGTACCAAATTTCAGCGTATTCGGTTGAAAAACGCGCCCAAGAACCTCAAAATACCGAAAATTGGGGTACTGTTATATGGGAGCTATGTCTAAACGTGGACCGATATATCCCATCTTCGAACTTGACCTGCCTGCAGACAAACCTATGCAAAATTTCAGCATCCTATCTCAATTCCTTCAGAAGATCGCGTGATTACAACAGACGGACGGACATGGCTAGATCGTCTTAGAATTTTACCCTGTTCAAGAATATATATACTTTATAGGGTCGGAAATGAATATTTCGATGAGTTACAAACGGAATGACAAAATTAATATACCCTCCATACTATGGTGGAGGGTATAAAAATATCGATCTCTTATCTTTGAGAACCCTATCTAAAATTTTATGACCGGCATTTTTGTACAATACTGTGTGGATGAAAAATCGCTATGGTAATGTTTGGAGCCCGGCTTAAATAAACTAATGGCTAAAATTACTTACAAAAATCCCCACATCTCCAAACTTTGACCTATGGCATTTTTCTTTTTTTTCATTCCCAGTAGGAATTTTCCAGCCCCCAGACCATGACCCCGATTTTGTCTCTCATAGTAATGAGGCATTTCGGGATTTTCAAGGCATATCATAATTTGGCAATCAGGATTCATTAAGGGTAAAATGAATTAATCTGACTATATTTTTAACACGGTTCCAAATAAAGTCCCGATTCCATATAAAGTCTCATTTTCCAACCAATATGACATTACTACTTAGATGGCTTGTGACAGAAGATTTGTTCCTTAGGCCGAGCCTGTGAAAGACCATGTTCCGTGATGTTATCTTCCACTTGATATTTCCACCGAAATCGTGACCTTCTCCTTCTAAGAGAACCATCAGTTGGTTCGCTTTTATATGCCTTTTGAACTGGGGTATTCTCATATTTTATGAGAACATGACCTAGCCAACGTACTCACTGCAGCTCGATACGTCTGACTATGTCGATATACGGGAATAAATGGTACAACTTTGATGCAGATCGGTACATATATCTTTCGAAAAATTGTTATCTCAAATACTCCGAGAGCTACTCCATCAGCTTACGCAAGTTCACATGCTTAAGATCCATACAACAGAACGGGTAGTACCATCTTGTCTTGTAGAGAGTGAGTTTGGACTGGCGGGAGGTGGCCATGTTTCTAAACTGCTTAATTGTAACATAGTAGCTCTGTTGGCGAACACAATTCTTCTCCGAATTTCAAAACAGATGTCATTAGTTCTATTCATGGAGGTACGATGGTATATAAAATCTTTGACTACCTCGAAGCTGTAGTTCTCAAGTTCCACAGTTGGTCCGAGTCCACTTTGGCAGACTCCGAATTTACCTGCTGACCCTGTGCCACTTAATGTTATCCTGCATAGCCGTATTAATTTTGCAGGAATGGCAAACGCAGACATGGCTTTAAATAACTCTGAACGGATAGGGCTGTCGAATGCGGCTTTATAGTAGACGAATAGGTGGAATGTATCGATATGTTTTTTGTGGGTCTTTTCCAGTATTTAGCGCAGAGTGAAAATTGGTATGGAACAATAATGTCATTAGCCATTGGCTTTAGTCGTTCACACAACACGCTGGTTAGCATTTTATATGCGGTGGGAAGGAGTCTTATTCCTCTTTTGTACACGGGACAGAGGATGCTGAGGTTCCAATCATTGGGCATGCATTCCTCTAGCCAAATTGTAGTAATCAACATCTGACCACCGGTCTTGAACAGTTCGGCTGCTAAACCATCGGCACCTGATGTTTTATTGTTCTTCAGTCTATTTGAGACCAGAAGCTTTTCAAAATGCTCATTCCAGATCCTCGTTTAGTGTTTTATTCGTTGTTAAAATTTCATTCTGACTCCAGTACGCCTCGATTTGATCACGCTCACGTTGTTTCTTGTTCTTTCTTTTTTTCTGAAAACACGTTTCTCCTTTTCCAGAAATATTCTATGAGAAAACTTTGTGGATATATGGGGGATAGAAAATTATTTAATATTTTCTGCTCAAGATATTCTGTAGTGAATACCTCCTTCTATGATTATTTGTTTAATTTTTCTTGTTTGGATTTGTTTCGGCTTAAGGTTAAATAAAATTCAGTATTTTGTTTTCTGCTTTTTTATTTTTTATTCTCCAATATTTCGACTGTCTTGGACAGTCATCTTCAGGGAAATACTAAAAGATACAATTATTTAATAAGGTTTTCACAGAATAATATAACACAAATATTACGTTATGAGAGAAGCTACAGGTTTGTTATACCGTCTATGCTAAACTAAACTTTAATTCGTCTGTGCTTATGAACTAAATTTCTATACATTTCTATTCTCTTCTCTTGCGGTACATTTATTATATTAAGCATTTCTAAGGTAAATCGTCGTTTATAATTGTTTTCCTGTGTCAAAATATCAACGTCTTTGAAATTTGGCGTATGCCCCGTCATTGGGCAATGTGCTGCAAGAGCCGTCTTTTGTTCTAATGGCTTGTCTGCATTTTGTCTGCATTTTGATGCAGACAAGCCATTAGAACAAAAGACGGCTCTTGCAGCACATTGCCCAATGACGGGGCATACGCCAAATTTCAAAGACGTTGATATTTTGACACAGGAAAACAATTATAAACGACGATTTACCTTAGAAATGCTTAATATAATAAATGTACCGCAAGAGAAGAGAATGAATTACAAGACTGACACGGACCACTGTGCACATATGTATAGAAATTTAGTTCATAAGCACAGACGAATTAAAGTTTAGTTTAGCATAGACGGTGTAACAAACCTGTAGCTTCTCTCATAACGTAATATTTGTGTTATATTATTCTGTGAAAACCTTATTAAATAATTGTATCTTTTAGTATTTCCCTGAAGATGACTGTCCAAGACAGTCGAAATATTGGAGAATAAAAAATAAAAAAGCAGAAAACAAAATACTGAATTTTATTTAACCTTAAGCCGAAACAAATCCATTATTTGTTTAAGATAAATTAAAAATGTGTCACAGTTTATTAAAGCTAACAAGCCATACAAATTAATTTTATAATATTGTCATTAACGCTATAATAACTTTAATTATATTAATTTATTTATTTGGAAAAAAATTCTCAACATTATTTATATTTTTTGTCAATTGCAGGGTTCGCGTGTCAGCACCATCAATGATTGGCTGCAAATAAAAATTGGCGGCGATGAGGAGGTCAAGAAGAAAAAACGAAAACAAAAATTGAATCGTATTAAATCAACGAAATACACATTCATAACATTTCTGCCACAAAATCTACTCGAGCAGTTTCGTCGAATAGCGAATTTTTATTTTTTAGTTATGACAATTATATCATTGCTAATTGGTGAGTATTTTGTGGTTATTTATTTTTTTAATATGAATTTAAATTGAGTACACAATTTATAAAAAATTTGGGATCACAATTGATATTTTTTAAATATAATAGTTAATATATTTAAACTTAAATATAATTGGGTGTGATAAAATTTTTTAGAGACCTAATAGGCCTACACCGACTTAAGAATCCACTTGAACATGTGGCGATATTTTCACTATTATCTAAATACTAAATATTCATCTTAGAGAATAACAGTAAAATACAGACCACGAAATATATATACCACTAAAATTATGTACACCTGTTTATTTCAGTTATGATTTTTTTAGTCCTCAAGTTCTTCCCCTAAAATCCACCGCTGACCAATATTTCTAAAATACTTTGATTTTTAATAACTATTTTTCTATTAACTTTTATTATCTATTTTTTCGCCTTGATTTTGATAAGTTAAGTGTTCAATGAAAAGTAAATATTTTTAATTAATTTAAATCTAAAGTGCTAAGGTAATAAAAAAATCGCATTCGTGTGTTTGTTATCATCATCATCAGTACCGCACTATGAAAGGGAAACGAATGAAGAAAAAAAATTATATAGAAAAAATAATTTGACTATGTTGACGCAGAAGGAAACTATCAACAATGTATTTATTGAGGTATTGATTGAATGGAATGTTTGTCAATCTATTCATTTCAATTAAACTATTATTTGAAATTGAATGAACTTTTGTTTCTCTCTACTAAATTGTTGCTCAAAAGGAAAGTGTCAATAGATAGATTTATTCATGATGACAGAGAACGAACGAACGAACAATGGATGGATAGATGGCACACATGCAAAATGTTGTTGCATTTGGACAAATTGAAAATTTATATTTCAAGGTTATTTTGAAGTATTTTTTTTTTTGTGCAAAAATTAAAGAATTTTTTTTTCTTTAAATTGAATGATACTTCTTGTGGTAATTTGAAATTCCCCCTAAGAAAATGTCAGCACAATTCCAACATCTGTAGGTCATCTGGGAATTTTCAATTAAAGAAAAAAACATGTTGGCAATGAAACATTGTATATCAAATCGCATTTTAATTACATGTCCACGTACAATGTTTAATGACATTTGTATAACACGACACTGTTAGCAAAATAATGAATTTAAATGAATTTGAAATCGAAATTTTAGGCGACATTCAAAAATATTATCCCACGATTAATGAAGATAGGGAGGGCAAAAACAAGCACTAATTGTATATAATTACCGTTAAACATGACCATAGACAATTGGGTAATTAAAAAAAATACAAATAGATAGTTTAAAAACAAAATATATTTTTTGGCAGATAGGTCAAATGTCAAGAAATCTTAAATGGTGTATTTGAGTGTTCCTATAGGGGTAATATCTTATGCACAAAAAAATTAAATTATTATTTTCATAATTTTTTTTTTCTATATTGCAAATTAAAATGAAATCATGAGAAAGTCACTATTTTTTTCAAAACATGTAAAAATTTTATTAATATCAAAACCATTTTCATACTTCGCTCTACTTTTCCACTGTTTGCGCCCTCTTTCCCTCTCTCTCTCTCTTTTGATACAAAAATGTATTTTGCAACCGTGTGACTACTCCTTCTTTTGCCTAGAACCGCCGTCTCTCCACTCGGTTGTGTGGTTAGTTTTGCATTTCATTGTTTCTTTATTTCAGACACTGTTAGCGACCTTTGCATCGATCCTATAAAATTCGCATATGCATTTTCCAAAGTATTTCGATATAAATACCAAATTCACCTTCTACATATGTATCCTAACAGACGTCGCCTTTTCGAAGGAACATTGTCAAGAAATTTAACGAACTTAAACATGTGATCTTTGTCTATTAAAAAACCGACTAACATCAATCCCAACACATGCCATTCTGCAACCTATTCTAAATTTTGTAAATAGATTTAAAGCAAACTTTACACACGATATTTGGTATGACTCACTGTTAAACATTTTATTTAAATCAGACACCCATTGATTATTTGTTGTACAATAAACATGAATGGGTCGAAATTATATATAGAAGCTATGCTATATCTAAATCTGAACCGATTTCAAGGAAACTTTGCCAGAGATTAATTTATATTAATTTCAGAACGTTGTGTCAATCGGCCTAGCTATGGGTCTTTAGTGTACCATTTATTTAATATCGAAAGAATGCAAATTAAGGGAAATATAAGGACTTTGTTACACCATTTACATAAAATCGGACGAAAATATATATGGGAGCTACATCTATAACTGAACCGATTTTCACGAAACTTAGCACCACACATCATTCTGGACCTAATTCAGTACGCTATAAATTTAGTGCAAATTGAATGATACATAGGGACTGTGGTGCCCCATTTACCTTAAATCGAACGAAAATATATATGGGAGCTATATCTAAATCTGACCCGATTTTTTTCAAAACTTAACATACGTAATTCAAGACTCAATTCAGTACACTATCCAAAATTTCGTGCAAATCGAAAGATATATAAGCACCATTTACATAAAATCGGACGAAACAATATACGGAATATATCTAAATCTGAACCGATTTTCAGAAATTTCAATAGGGTCCTTCAAATAAGTCCTTGGGCCAAAGAAGTGACTTGTGCTAAATTTCATCCAAATCGGATCAGAAATGCTTCCTGTACTTTGTTTACAATTTAACATCTACAGACGGACGGACGAACATGCATAAATCGACTCACAAAGTGATTCTACGTGTATTCT